GATTGGATGAAGTAAGTGTGCATAAGCAAGTATTTTCAAAAATGGAAGAGGTAGGAGGTTCTATCTTAGATTCTAGCTTGTCAGTATCAGTGATTTGAGTTCTAATTCGTAAGAAACTGTAGACTTTGTATTTGGACATCACAACCATCTAATTTGAACAAATTCTGCATTCAACATACCACATAACACACAAAATCAATATTTAGGATTTATTTTAATATTTACTTTTAAATTAAGAAATTACCTAATGTATTATACTAACATTTGAATTATAATCTACAATTTGATACCAAACTTATTGACATATATTCATAAAATAATTGTTCAATAAAATTTTGAATGCGAGTCTACAAATGTGATGACGGCCTTTGACCCAGGACCATAGGTAGACCCATGCTAGATGTTTGTGAAGTCAAAATATTAAATCTATAGTTTTGAACGAATTAGAAACTCAGATTACTGATATTGACAAGCTGGAATATAAAATAAGAGCCTCTTATCTTTTCAATTTGCTGAGATATTGCTCATGTAATAAATCAAACATAGGAGTGGGCATCCTGCCCACCTCTTTCCATTTTTAGAAATGCTCCCATATATACACTTACTTCTATATGTGACATAAATAACTAATCGGAAGCTCAGAATGTCCCCCTAGTGGCTTTCTCAGCAATTTTAATGGACTTGGCACCATTTCTTTGTTTTGAACCAATATTTCAATATTGTGACAAGAGTTGTTACAAATTCATTCAAGCTAGTCATTTGATAGATGAAAACCTTGACTTTCTATTGGTTATAAGTAATATATGATGAAATGTAAGAGAGAACTATCAACGAATTCTGAAGGAGAGGATGTTGTAAGAAGGGTTTGATTTTCTATTTGATAGCTCTGTAACCAAACAAAATTGAAGGCTATGAAAATTATGGTTTGTCTGAGCAATAACGGTTTTATAGAGAGTAATTTTCGTTTAATTTTATACTTTTTCAACGAGTGGTGGATAAAGCAGGGTAGATGACAC